GCCCTCTTCTGATCTAATTCTGCATCTCTTTCCCAGAAGACCTCCTCACCCCATGGATTCATCACCACCCCTACTACTCCCTAGCCTCTCCTTGGACCACCAGACCCCTACAATTTTTCAGAAAACCTCCTGCTTAAATCCTACCTGCTCAGCACCTCTGCTTGGATTATCTCATAAGCACCTCAAATTCACCTTGACCAAGTGTGAATTTGGAAGAGTTTTCTCAACGCTTCTCCCCCAGGATTCCCAAATTCAGAGAATCACACCACCATCCATCTGGTTGAAGAAACAGAGACCTGGGAGTTTTCCTTGATTCCTCCCTAAGTGATCACCAAGCCTCGGTGGCATCTACTTCTCTCCGTTTGCTTTATTCCTTACTCCAGACAAACAGCCCCTCTCACTTATATTATAGCAAAAGCCTCCCGTTTTTACAACCTACTCCTCCCTTCCCCTCATGCCTTCTTCACATTGCAGTCAGAGTGATCTCACTGAAAATATAAATTTCAGCTGGTGACTCCTGTTTAAACCCTTAAGATAAATAGATTAATACTGAACCTGGGGAGATAGTATACTAGCCTGTGCATGATCTAGTCCCTACCTACCCACTGCCGTCAAGTAGAACTGTCCCGTAGGGTTTCCAAGGCTGTAAATCTTTATGGAAGCAGTCTGTCACATCTTTCTCCTGCAGAGCAGCTGGTGGGTTTGAACTGCTGACCTTCTGATTAGCAACTGAGCACTTTAACCACTGTGCCACTAGGGCTCCTAGTCCCTACCTACCTCTCCAAGTTCCCCTCAACCACTTCCCCCTTTGCAGACTGAACAAGCCAGGAACTCTGTTCTAGTCTCCTTTCTGCCTGATTAAATCCAGTTCACCTTTCAAAGCTCGTCTCAAATCTCACCTCCTCTTGGAAGCCCTCTCTCACTCCCCAGACAAATGGTCCAGCCACCTTGCAGTCTGTTGTGACCCGTATCACAATCGTAACTATGTCATTGATGGTGCATTTGTTAAGCTCCTCTCTCTCCAGCTCGACTGTGAGCTCCAGGAGGGAAGAGTTGTGTCTGCCACATCACCACTCTAATGCCTTGTACCATGCCCTGCCCTTCGTAGGGGGACAATACATGCTTGCTGAATAAATGAATAATTTATCCCCACCTACTGATGATGGTAGACCCAGGCCTCAACCCAACAGTAGGGACTACAGCCAAGTGGGCGTGAAATCTAGTATTGAGTAATTCCCTCAAAGACACAGTGTAACTATTGCAGATACACATCCAGCTGCATTAATTAATGGCACAAGCGAGACAATGACTTTGGTTTTTAATATCAGGGCCTGGACAGCTTTTGGCAGCTGTGAAGGATGCAAGCTTTAATTTCCTTTCTTGTTGCCAGCTGACATTGTAACAGTTACTCTAAAAACTCCTTGGCTGGCAGTCCCAAAAGCGTGCCTGTGGCTAATGGGAGTGCATTTAAAGAGAAGACACATACTCATAGAAACAATAGGGAACAAAAGTCTGCTGCCCAATTAGGTGTCTTTGTCCCGTCATGGCAACTAAATATCAAAAACAGTATCTTTATTTAAATCAAAGAACATGGACTCAGGATTATTTTAACTTGGAATGAAAGAAATAGGCTTCATTTATCTATCCATTTACAGTTTCTGTAGAGTTCTTACTGAATTTCTAATTTCTATGTTTCTTTAATTCAAGGTAGATTCAGAAGAGGATGTGGAACAAGGGATATCATTACTGATGTCAGATGGATCTTGGCTGAAAGCAGAGAATACCAGAAAGATGTTTACCTGTGTTTTATTGACTATACAAAGGCATTCGACTGTATCGATCATAAAAAATTATGGATAACATCGTGAAGAATGGTAATTCCAGAACACTTAATTGTGCTCATATGGAACCTATACATAGACCAAGAGGCAATTGTTCCAACAGAACAACGGCATACTGCGTGGTTTAAAATCAAGAAAGATGTGTGTCAGGGTTGTATCCTTTCACCATACTTATTCAATCTGTATGCTGAGCAAATAATCTGAGAAAATGAACTATATGAAGAACGGGGCATCAGGATTGGAGGAAGACTCATTAACAAACTGTGTATGCAGATGACACAACCTTGTTTGCTGAAAGGGAAGAGGACTTGAATCACTTACTGATGAAGATCAAAAACTACAGCCTTCAGTATGGATTGCACCTCAACATAAAGAAAACAAAAATCCTCACAACTGGACCAATAAGCAACATCATGATAAAAGGAGAAAAGATTGACGTTGTCAAGGATTTCATTTTAGTTGGATCCACCATCAACGCCCATGGAAGCAGCAGTCAAAAAATCAAACGATGTATTGCATTGGGCAAATCTGCTGCAAAAGACTTCTTTTAAGTGTTGAAAAGCAAAGATGTCACTTTGAGGAATAAGGTGCGCCTGACCCAAGCCATGATATTTTCAATTGCCTTATATGCATGTGAAAGCTGGACAATGAATAAGGAAGACCAAAGAAGAATTTATGACTTTGAATTATGGTGTTGGCAGACAATACTGAATATCCCATGGACTGCCAGAAGAGTAAACAAATCTCTCTTGGAAGAAGTACAGCCGGAGTGCTTCTTGGAAGTGAGCGTGGTGAGATCTCATCTCAAGTACTTTGGTCATGTCATCAGGGGGGACCAGTCCCTGGGGAAGGACGTCATGCTTGGTGAAGTAGAGGGTCAGTGAAAAAGAGGAAGACCCTCAATGAGATGAATTGACACATTGGCTGCAACAGTGGGCTCAAACATAGCAACCATTGTGAGGATGGCACAGGACCAGGCAATATTTTGTTCTGTTGTATATATAGGGTCGCTATGAGTGGGAACAGACTTGACTGGGCACCTAACAACAAGAACAAATGTGTCTTTAAAAGGAATCTTGGGGTGGCGCAGTGGTTAAGCGCTAGACTGCTAACCAAGAGGTAGGTGGTTGGAACCCACCTGCAGCTCTGTGGGAGAAAGGTGTGACAGTCTGCTTCCATAAAGATTTCAGTCTAAGCAACCCCATGGGGCAGTTCTATTCTGTCTTACAGGGTCACTATGAGTCGGAATCTACTGGACGGCAAGGAGTTTGTTTCTTTAAAAAGGTTTTATTAGCTTTCTAAATTGTGAAAGTAAATATAAAGAAATATAAAATTCAGTGTGAATGAGGGTATAAAATTCCTCTCTCCCTTCTTCCACCCTAATCCACACCTGGGGTAACCGTGGTTAACAGTCGGTGCGCATCCTTCGAGACGTTTTCCTCCGAATACAAAAATCCGACTTGTTTCTTGGACTTTACGTCACAGTCTTAGGAGAATCATGGGATCATCATACAAGCAAAAAGGCTGCAAACCATAAGTTTCCCAGATCCACTGACTCAGAATTCCTGCTTCTGGAGGACCGCACCCACGTGGCTCTGGGCGCCCAGCAGCTACTTGCCCTTACAGCGCGCGAGCTCAGATAAGAACAAGGGCGGGCGTCAAGGGGGCTGAGCTCACAGGTTGCTGAAATTCCTTCATTAGCAATTCCTTCCCCTTCCGCTAATTTCGCCTTTGAGAGCCTCCTGAAAAATGCAAATAGCTGGGGGTGGAGTGTCCTTAATTCCTCAGTCCGACCACCAGAGATATCAGGAGCAATGGAGCGGGCGCCTCCAGCTGCGCCTCTGGCCGGGCCTGCCTCACCGCGGAGCTACCCGCGGCGGAGCGGGTGCTCAGGCCCTCTGAAGCAGGAGGCAAAGTATCCGGTCGCGCCGGGCTTACCTGGGGGCCCCAAAGTTGTGTCAACAGCGGCTCGGGTTCACCTTTGCGGATCTGACTTTGGGGCTGGGGTCGGAAAGCACTGCTCTCGGGAGGTGTCGGGGGCGCTGGGCTAGGAGGGCGCGTTGGTGGGCCCCAGCTCTGCCATCAGGTGGGTGTCTTTGACGCCACACCCCGACCCAGTCCGTGGTGCCCCGAAGGGTCCTTGGGGGAGGGGAGGTGCCTGTGATCAGCCTCTTAGTGCGCTCCCAGGTACCTGCCCCCCGGCCGCGGCGCGGGTTGGGACCCAGCGCCCGGACACCTCCAGGATCCGGCTTTCCGACTCCCCGAGCTGCGCGTGGGACCTTAAGGAAACCCTCTGCACGACACCGCGAGGAGAACTAAGACGCTGCCCGTCGCCCAATGTCCTGGGCGGCTTCATAAATCCGAGGATCAGGTGCCAGACAGGGCACCTGGGCCCCTAGGGCTTCACCTGGGCTCTTACGATGTGGCGGCAGGTACTGGGCGGGGAAAGAGCAAACGTCAAACCCCGCTCGGCCCTGGCGCCCTTCCCGCCCAACCTTCCGCGGTAGAACCATCCAGGGGGTCGCGGGGCGCACCGGCCCGAGCACTAGAGGAGCGGCCGGGGTCTGGTCTAGGCCAGTGACGAACTGGCTCAGGGCAGAAAAGGACTCCCCCAGGCGACGTGGTCAGTTCCCCAACATCCGACGGACTGCAAGGGGGCTAAGTGCAGCTGGAGGGATTGAGGTTAGACCGGGGAGAATATAGTGTGGTTCTTCTGAGTGTCCAGCTGCCCTCTTTTTGCGGTGGGGGGGGTCTCTTTCCTGGGGGTCCCCCTCCGACAGCTTAACTCCTAGCTTTGCAGGTGTGGGCACGGGCACCGCGGGGGTGGAACCCCGGAAGCCCAGACGGGCAGGTCCTGGGCGCAGATTGGCCGACAGGCGGGCGCCGGGCCTTCCCCAAAGTTGGTGCTCT